AAAAAAAAGGGGGGGGGGAGTGGACCAACATAAAAACCATGTATTTACAAAATACGTTTTCTTTACAATTTCATTGTAAAACGTATTTTGTGAATACATTTTACAATTTTTTTTTTACAAAAGAAAACGTATTCACTAAATAAGTTTTACAATTAAATTGTGCAGAAAACGTATTTACAAAATGCGTGTTTTTTATTTTGTTCTACTCCCCCTTTTTTCTGTATTTTTTCTGTCCAGAACTTAACTTTTTTTTTTTTTTACAGTAAAAAAATCTCCCTTGTTTCCCATCTTTTCCTTTTTTCTTTTATTTTATACTTTATCGCTACAAGTGGGCTGGTAAAAGAGGGCTGCTAGAGTCAAAATTGAAGACACAATTTGTTTTTGGAAAAAAAATCTTGTTCGGTATGATATTTTGTTTTTCATTTTCAAATAACTCATGCTTTGTGTATAAATCATTATGTTTGCTTGCGTTCATAAGTTGAGCGCCTCTCTTCACGCCTCACGCCATGGCAAATAATAATAGGCTTGTTGCCTCGGGTTGCCTCACGCCTTTTAAATCACTGCCTTGTACATCTTTCAATCGTGGGCTTGGTGGTTAAATTTCTACTGTGGCCCAATGCTTCCTATCCTTTTGGTCATTTGATCCCAACTTTATTTTATTTATTTAGTTGGCATTTTAGTATATCATTTAAACATTCCCTCTTGCTATGCGGAACCCTGACAATGTTTTAAAGAAACAATTTTGTTTATACTTTTTTAATTTTCATTTCACCATATATTACCTAATAAATATTCCATATTTCCCTTCTGGGAGAACCTCACATCTCTCTCTCTCTCTCTCTCTCTCATCACTTAATCTTGTTTTTAGCTCGATGGATTCTAGTCTAATCAGACACAGATAATTGGGTTCCTAGTTATATAGTCCAATGCATAGAACTATTTGTTAGCCATTCTGAAATATTTGAACTAGGTAACGAACTGTATTTGCATTTTGATCTACACTGGTAGCAATGCACTCACCTTTATTTTCAGGTGAATTTATGCTGTGTTTCAATTTTTGTTTTTGTTAATGTGTATACAATTATATATGGTACATATTAGGATATCAACTAGGAAAATATTGTAATCCCATAGATTAGGCAAGTTCATCTGCCTTCTTTTTTAGCTTGGTTGTATACTTGTATATATAGGTCATTCTATATCATCGTATGAGGTACCCTAAGAATGTGGAATACATTCATTTTCATTTATTTCTACAATTTTCTTGTTTCTAGTTAGATTTTTTATTTTTTATTTTTCATTCAGGCAACAGGATGAAGAACTGGATGAATTGAGTGCTAGTGTGCAAAGAATTGGAGGTGTTGGGCTTACAATACACGAGGAACTCCTTGCTCAGGTAAATTTGTCCAAACCCATGTAATTATTAGTTCATTTCACAAATGTCTGATGTTTTAGTTTGCTCAATTTTCTTCAATTTCAATACATGTGAGTGTATGATAAACTTTTGTTTAACTGGGGAAATATAAACAATCTTTAAATAATTTATTGCAGGAGAAAATCATAGATGATCTGGGCATGGAGATGGATAGCACATCAAATCGTCTTGATTTTGTTCAGGTAAAATGTTTTCTTAAATTCGAGTACTCTTTTTTCTCCTAGCACTTCGTTAGTGAAGAGTTGATTTGGGACACGGACGATTAAGAATATGATGGTTCAGCTTCTCTTTTTAGTTAATTGTTTAGTTTTCATGGTAGTTAGTTATGCCTCATGTTATTTCATATTCTTTTTGCAGAAAAAGGTTGCTATGGTTATGAAGAAGGCCAGTGCCAAAGGCCAATTTATGATGATCTTGTTCTTACTCGTTTTGTTTATTATTCTATTTGTGCTTGTTTTCCTCACATAAGTTGAGAGCCATTACCAGCCGAGCCGATTTCTTATACATGAGAAGGTCTCTCTCTATCTCTCTCTCTCCTTTTTCCATGGGAATAGAACAAACTAGAGATTCTCTCTGTTTTGTCCTTGTAAATGTATTGCTTCTGGAGTTGACATAGATGGTAATTCATCGAGGTTGATATACAATCAAAACTAGCAGCGTAACAGCCTATTCTTTTTTTTTTTTTTTCGTCTTTCGGGAACAATAGAACTTTCATAGATAAAACCAAGGCTTTAATTTTTAAAAATCAAACATGTCATCGAATCGATAAAACTACCAGTTCAATGGTTCACTGGTAGGACCAGTAGTCGAACAGCTCGAATCGGCTTTATTAATATATATAAATTTTTTATTTATTTTTTATTTATCATTAATCTTATATTGAATGTTGATAAAAGTTAAAGATATATATTTATATTGAATGTTAAGAAAAGTTCAAGAGCTGGATATTAGGCTTAGCATGTTTGGGTTGTGCTTTTCCAAGTCCAAACCCACAACTTAACCAACAGAATAGTTGACATTAGCCAAAAAAAAAAAGGTCATCGATGTTGGAGCTTTCTCTCACAAGTCAATTGCTTTCTCGTCGGCGCCGCAGACGTATTTCCAATCGAGCCGATCCGCATCTTGAATCCCATTATTTTGCACGTCAAATCATCTTCTCCGGGACACAATCTCTTATGTCGTCGGTATCTACCTGCGTCTTCGCCTTGCCTCGCCATCTCGCGGATCGTCTTCCCTGGTCGTGACGCCGCCTCCAGAAGGTAGTTTTTCAATTCTCTGTAAAAGACGGTTGTACTGTGATCGATCTATGACGTTACGAAATTGTTCGAATTGGGTTGGATCTGGTGGCGAGTTACAAGGCAGAACAAACCCAAATTGGAAACTACTGGGCCAGACCAACCGTCTCGATTTTCCCTTTTTATTGGATTTCGACTGGTTGAAAACGATTCGTAATCGGTTTCTAACACCAACGGTTTGATACCTCCAATCGGACTGTTGTCCTGTCAGGTTCCCGTTGAATCGGTTGAACCAGCCGGTCCGTTCCGGTGTTCCGAACCATGGATAAAACACAAATGTACAATTAGAAACCAACCCAACAGCAGACAAAACAGCTAAAGATCTGAATCTACTGAGGACAAATTTGAAATTCGCCTAAAAGTTATATTAGAACTAAATTGAACAATGCATTCACCAAATATACCAAACTCCAAATAATGGAGAATACCAACTTCCACACGGGAGGATCAACGCTCTCAGGCGGGAGAAAAATACAAAACACGAAAGCCTGCAACACACAAACACAAAACAAACTATAACTAGACTAAGGCCATTACCTCAGCTGGCAAGCTTCATCGAGCGTAACACGATGGTGACACCCACGGTCGACTACCCATAACCGAGCCACAACCCCAAGCTCACACCCACAGATCAGGATCCTACCTCGTTGCTTGTCCCCTCAGTCTAAACACCAGGGGAGAAGGGGACATGGGAGAAAAGCCCTCCTCCGCCCCGATCACCGCCAGAAGGGCAACTGGAGCCGCAAACCAACCCCCGATGAAATGTTGAAGCACGCCACCACCTCGATACCTGGAAATCCGATGAACCTCCTCCCCGAGATGGCAACCAAAAAGACGGCGAAAACCACCCAGGTACGGCCCTCCAACTCCTTCGAAAAAAAAAGACATACAAAAGACGAAAATCGGGGACCAATCCGCACGGCCCGGTGACGGCCGCCGCCATGAAAGGCAAAAGGGAAACTCATTAATGGAAGTTTTTAGGAAGACATCTATATGCAACAACCCTTTGGGTTCGTTGTAGAGGGCCTTGAGCATCTGGTTTGTATGGTGAATCCGACCATTTACGAACTAAAGCAGACTTCAAGATCTTGAAATAGTCATACGAGTTCACTCAATGTTCGGATTAGCACTGAACATATGATAAAATTGACAGAAGCGTGATGATGTTTCTTGTGTTGTACGTAAACGACATCCTTCTCATTAGAAACAATATAAAGGTGTTGTCAGACGTAAATGTATGGTTGTCCAAGCATTTTTATATGAAGGATTTGGGAGAAACAAGACACGTTCTTCGCATCAAGGAGATTCGGTGCTGCGATAAGAGAATATTGTGCTTATCTCAATCTTCATACATAGACACTGTTCCGGCTGGTTTCTGCATGCAAGATTCCAAGAAACTGTCATTACGGCATGGAATTTCACTATCCAATGAGATGTCTGCCAAGACGCCTCAAGAGATAGAGGATATGAGAAAGGTTTCTTATGCATCATCCGTAGAAAGTCTCATGTATGCATTATTGTGTACGAGGCCAAATATATGCTATCGGTAAACATGGTGAGCAAGTATCAAAGTAACTCTGGACAGTGTCATTGGACTGTGATAAAGCATGTGCTTAGGTACCTAAAGAGGATCAAGGATTATATGTTGATCTATCGATCGGGCGTTTAGATCCCTGTGGGTTGCACCAATTCTAACTTCCATTCAGATCGGATAGAAAGTAAATCTACCTCTGAATTTGTAATTACTCATAGCGGTGGAGACAATATATGGCTGAGTGTCAAATAGAAGTGTATAGCAGACTCCACCATGGAAGTCGAGACGATGCATTTAGTTACTATTTCTATTGATTACATATATTATCAAATGACCAGATATAAATGGACGACTGGATTCTAAATAATAAGGAAAATATTTATAGATTTTAAAATAAAATGTACTTTCTAGATATTTAGTATATGACTTTATCATATATACAATTATCGATTTTTATATAATTGAAAGTAGTTTTATTAATTTAAGTTTCAATAATGAAACACGTAATAGTTAATAAAAAAAGAATTGTAAAACCATGTCACAGACATTGATAAACCTAGTGGTGGAAGTCACTTTAAGATGCAAGTGGTGTTTGAGTTCATGTCCCACTACAGGCAAAATTGGAAAAACATTATCATGATTTGTGTGGAAGCTTATGGGTTAGGCCATTCAAGGTGTGTCTTGTGGTGGTCCATCGAGATAAATAAAATATCTTTTCTATAATAATGAAAAATCCGTTGGTAGACTGTTGGTAAAGGATCTGTTGGCAATCTGTTGAGAAAAGATCCGTTGAAAAAAAATCATTGGTAATTCGTTGGGAAAAAAATCGTTAGTAATCTGTTGGGAGAAAATTCGTTGTTAATCCGTTGGAAAAAATCCGTTAGTAATCTATTGGTATAATATTCGTTGGTAATTCATTGCTAACATATTCGTTGGTAATCAATTGGAAAATAACCCGATGGTAATCGGTTGAATGCATCTTCAAGTATTTCACCAAAACTAAAGTAGTTTGTTAAAAATGCATCTTCTGCTACCACCTCTTGAAGTCAAACCCGTTAAACTTCTCGTGCTTTTCAGTAGATACAGGATGATGATGAGGAACAACACTTTTTATTGGCTGCTGAGGCTATTGGTTTTGCTTAGTGTTCAAACTAAGCCTAAGAATAGAAAAGTATGATCTTTTAGTTCGTACAATATGAATTAAAACTGAAAATTACCAGCAAATCTTGACAGTAGAAAGACAATAAATCGAAGCGAGTGTTGCTCTTTCTGAATGACGAATACGCCCCGTAGTGTGGTGATGGATTCATGCGCCTCATCCCCAAAGATACAACATTTACATCTTAGAAGCGGTAACACTTCAGACTTTCAAGCTCCGATGAACTTGAATAAAGTCGATAATTGAACACTTGTATATGATGCATGAGACTTTTGAGATAGTGAAATGCAGATGATGTTATAAGTGTCTTTCTGCAGCTCTACGCAGTTTTAAGGTGTTAACACATCGCCAAGTGGAGTCAATATGTCCAGATATAATTTATCTTGAAAGGTCTCTCACGGGTTGGGTCAAAATCAAGTCCAAATCCAACTCAGTGGACTTCATTCTGGGCCACATACTTGCAAATAAATTTGCAGTCAAAAGATTACAGGAGCTAGGGGCAAGGCCTAAGCCCAACACCGGCGTTAACATTCTAGGTCACCCAAGTCCAACCCAAGGTCGAGTTTCCAAGGCCAATGCTTAGGCCCGTGCCCGAGCCCGCCTCGCATGTGGCTGAAGTCATCATCAACACTTAATGCATAGTTTTGTTGTTGTTGTGACCTATTCAACTTCTTTTATTATAACAAAGAATTTTGAATCTTGGCCTTTTAAATCTCATAACCAATGTTTTACGTGTCCATAAATAGTTAATTTTAATCATCTATTTCTCACTCACCGATAGTCGATTTTGAGAAAATAAATTATCACGAGTATCTACTCCGAATGTGAAATTTTTCTACACAATTTAATTCAACCTGAATTAAATATTTCACCATACTAAAATAAACCAAAACCAGGTCAAACCCAATTTTGAACAACTTATTTTCTAACATATGTTGAATATGTGTTTTCTCCGGCCCCCAAGGAGTTCGGTATCCGTAGGTCTCTAGCGTTTCAAGTTGCATCATGCATTATGTCAACTTGTTGATGATAGTTCAAGATACGTGTAGTTTCGAGTTGTGTTATACATAATATTCGTTCACTTGTTACCATTATTATACGTGTAATATTTGTTCACTTGTTACCATTAATTTCAAGTTGGTCCCTGTCGGCAGCTGTGCACACTTTCAGAGTACTGTAATTCGAGTACCAACCTCATATCAGCTCAAGTCAACTCGTCTACAACAAGATTTCATCGACATATGAGAGGGAGAGAGAATATCAGTTCATGTTAGAGAATATCAGTTCATGTAATCGTTGTACAAACAATTCGTTGTTTAATTGGTTTCGTCATATTTGATTAATAATATGAATAAGAGCACGACCATGAAACTCAATTTATCTTGCATAATTATATATATTGTTATTGATACTTCATGTCTACTAAATGATTGGATCTCATACTAACTTCAGAAAACTAGAGTTCCGTTCCGAATCCAGGTACATAACCAATTTATTTGACCTCAAAACACTAGAAACATTAAAAAAAACAAAAAGAAAGTATCAATCCGCCACTCGGTCGACCATTCTCTCTTCGAGCACAAACCTTGCAACCAAAAAAAAATATATGGGGTGAGGAAAAAGAACAGAGCAAAACTAAGTTCAATGATTCTATCGTGATCGATCACTACCTCTCTATAATTCATCCTTGACAGAGTCAGCATCTACAGGTTCAGTTGCTGCCGACTCTGGTTTGGCTGAGGTTGACTCAGCAGAAGGCTTGTCCCGGTTTTCTTCAATAAAGCTGATGATGTCATCCTTTGTTCTTCCCCCATCGTACTGGGACAAGTTACCGCTTGCAGATCTAAAGTACATGGTCGGGAATCCTTGGACATCAAAGGTGTCCCCAGGGACGTCGTTTGCAGTCGCATCCTGAGAAGTTATTTTGTTAGAGAAATTTTATAACTTTGAAACTAATATATCAGAAGATTAGTTTGGCATAGTATAGTGTACAGATTGAGAATAGCAACTCAAGTGCAAAAATTTTCAGAGATGACTTTGATTATCCAGCAACGCCATCGTAAAACAAGCATGGAGCAGCACATATTCGTGCATGAATCTTTATGAGCTTAGTTGAATGGCAAGTTATTATGGTATTATACACTGGTGCCAGGGTACCAATGACAATGCAAATTCTCAAACGAAACCCTGTCACCACTTCAAGTACAAATTACACCGCCGAGAGAAAGACTTACGAATTTTGCAATCACAACATCAGGATCATTCTGGAAGGAGATGGCAACTTCGTCCAAGATGGGAGCCAGTTGCTGGCAGTGTCCACACCAAGGTGCATAAAATTCGAGGAGAACTGTAAAACACAGAGTATGAAATTAACACAAATTTTGAAAACGATGTACTCATAACAGACCAATCGCTTACATCAAACGAAAACGATGTCAGTTTGAAAATTTGTTTAACTTTCTAAGTTCCTCACAAAACAAATATTGTAAAGGAAGGCAAGATTGAAGACATAAAACACAAGATACATCTGCGTCACAAACTTCTCAAACTATAATTGTCCTTTTTATATTTGAAGACCAAATGTTACGCTCAAAAGTTACGAATACAAAATGAACGGAAGAAAGAAAAATCCAAAGTTTTTTTGTACAAACCATTCTTTTCAGAGTTGAAAACTACGTCTTGAAGGCTGTCACGAACAACCACTTTGACAGGTTCATCATTGACTTCGGGAATGGGCTCTGATTTCACAAAGGGCTTCAATTGTCCCTCCTGTCACCAATTGAAGATAGAACCATGTTAACATTAGCAACCACTAACGAGATAGGACTTTATTAAGACGAATTCAAAGGTGTCGTCAGTTGTCTGTATCATCAATTGAAGATGTAAATGAACCACATCACATGCAAACAACTCATTAATCGAAAGTATGCTAAGTACCGAGTAATCTTTGAACCAGGGTGCAATCTGGTCAGGCTCTATGTTTGTTTTCAGATATTTCTGACCATCAGTTTTCTGTACAATAAGCAGAGGTGCATCTTCTTGTTTCAGGCTGAAGTACTGCCATCCACAAATAAGAGCCATGCATGTCAAATTTGATAGCCAGTAAAAAAGAAAAACAGAAAAAAGAATATGACGAGAAGGACTATGAATAGACTACCTGGAAGGCATTTTGGGTGGATTCAACATCGCCCATCAAAAAGTTTATGCCCTTCCCTTTGTAAAGGGTAGCCACATCCTTATATTTTGACAGGAAAGCATCATGCTGTTCGCTGAAGTTCACAAATAGCATGGCCTGTGCATATCAAATCAGTTAAAGTGGAGAACAAATAGCCAGCCAAAACCTGTGGAAGTATCTAGATAGAGCTCAAATCTAGAATTTGCATTTGTAACAATGCATTAGTTAAAAACATGGCATGTGTCTAAAAAATGAACTTATAACATTCAAACACCAAACAAAACACTGGTATAACAGTCCAAGAGTGTTCCCAGCCTGTTAATTGCCAACACAAGCAAACTGCAGAAAGAGAATCACAAAAGTCCGGGACAAAATTGGGACCTTTTTTAGGTGTGTTCATGTTGGAACACGTCAATAGATTTTATCAATGAAAATGTACAGCACAAAACTTAGTGAAACTTCTGCCACAAACTTTTGCTTGTCAAATTTAGCCACTCTCCAAGATAATCTAGTAAATCAGAACAGAAGCAAGTGTCATCCATCATACATGTTGCAGGGACATGACATTTGGAAGAAGGAGAAATGTATTCAATGCATCTTCAAGGGTATCCAATTTGATGTGGACTGAATGCAACACCAAATGCCTAATGCGCATGTGACATTGCATAAAATGGGTCATGTTAGATTGTAAAATTACTTCCTCAAGTAAGGCAAGTTAGCCATTGAGTGGAATAAAGGTTTCAAATTATACGAGTAACTATGCTCAATTTACAGTTTATTTCCTCACATACAACAAAGTAGAAAGGACTCCAGTAGAGTAAAAGATTGTACCTTCGCATTGGGGCCATCAAAAAATTTGTTTATGTACGGGTGGTTACTAGGATCACTATTCCAGATAGTCACAATTGGTACGGAAAAATCTTGGATAAATTTCTCCAATGCATCAAGATTGAAATCCTAGATTATAAAAGCGACGTGCTCAGAAACAAACGACCACAAGAAAGAAAAAAGAAGAAACTTCTGTGGACTTTATATAAGTTGGCAATACCTCAGAATCCACAAACAGTTCATCAAAAGGCTTAAGCAAGCGAAGAGTGGGCTTGCTGACTGATTCACCTTTCGGAATGAGTTTAGCATCTAGGGTATGACCGAAATCATAGTCAGACCTCAACTTTTCAGCTAAAGTAGTGAAATTGTCAAATTCCTCCCCAGATAATTTGGGAAAAACTCCGACCTAGCAGATAAAATTCAAGCTCAAAAGAATTCCAATGATAATGCAAAAATGAAATCAAAAATTGTCAGAACTAGAAACCTAAGTAACTTACAATAAAAATCTGTTTCTCATCGATAAGACTAGCAGCATCTTCAGCCGACTTAATCTCAGTCGAAGCAGGACCAGCTTGTCTCTTCAAGTAACTGACAATGCCATCAGCCTCACGAGGGCCTTTATACTCTTGAATGCTTTTTCCACCTTTTCTTAAAATCTTAATGGTAGGGAAGCCCTGGATCTGAAATTCAGAAGCCAGTCCTCTATTTTCTTCTTCATTGGCATCCACTTTAGCCAGAACAATCGGGGGTTCATGGCTGCTCAATATAGATGCAGCTTTTTCGTACTAAGTGTGGGGGGGAAAATTAAAGAACAAGGAATCAAACAGTTATCACATAAGCTAAGAACCAAATAATACATTGTTTATTTACAATTGAAAAGGGAGGGAAATGAGAACAAAAGAAAGTTTATTGGTACAGGCAAAACCGGATGTTTACCTCAGGAGCGAGCGCCTGACAGTGCCCACACCTGTTCGAACAAGGAGGGAGATTTATCAACACATATAAACAGAGGTTTCATTAATGAACAATAAATTAAGAAACATAAGGAATTCTGTGAAGAAAAAGTTGTTTCTTATGATAAGGGAAGAGAACTAACAGTAATTGTAGATCAATAAAAAGAGATGCACAAAGCAAGTGCACATTCATATATTAATTTTCAGATAGTTGCCAAAGCAACAGTAATTATATGTCAATTTTGACAATCTTAAAACTCCTAAATAACCTCAATATGAACATGACTTCACATACAAAAGCAAAATCACATTCACAGATAATTTATAGACACTTCTTAATCCCACATACAGAGAACTAATTCTGCATCCCTAACAGGTACTTCTCGAAAGCCACGGCAGGCAGCTAGCCCAGTCAGGCTGCCAACCAATGTCCGACTAAAAATAACAAAATGAACATCATTTACTGCCCAGAAAAACACCTCGAACGTCACAAAACAAGCAGCTAAAAACTCGATCTGGGATGCACAGCACATACAAACAGGACAGACATTAATCATATAAAACGAGAATAAAAAAAAAAAAAAGAAGAAGATAAAGTTAAATTGCTAGCTAATCTGCAGAAATTACATGAAAATACACATAAATAAGCACAAATCTATATACATACCAAGGAGCGTAGAACTCAACGACAACGAAATCGTGCTTGGATACGATGTCTGAGAAATTCGAATGGTCCAAAGTCAGCACCTTTTCCACATCATCCGCTGACGCCGGAAGTGCACCGATAGCCGCCACTAGCGCCACAAAAACCACCAGCAGTCCACTCCAAACCCTAGCCTCCATGGCTCTGTTTCTAGCTCTGAAAGTGTGGGAATAATTTATTCGGATATTTTTTGCATGTGAAGAGAGGGCAAAGGCCGATACGATACGGAAGGGAAGAATGATGAGAAGGAGGGTCAATGGTAGGGTGATATAGAGTTGGCGGAGTGAGCGCCACGTTGGCAGGAAAGGTGACGTGGCACGCTCTGGTTGGGTAAATGGACGTCGATGTAATGGAGACACAAATTTTAGGGATCCATAACTCAATTACCCGTAGTCAATTAAAGAAAGGGGATATTTTGCTGAAAATTCTATTATTTGTAGTGCCGTAAAAATTGCAATTTTAGTCTTGTTGGCATAGTTTTTAAACCCGACCCGCGAAGGTCTCCGGGTCACCGAGTCATCGATTCAACCGCCGGGTCACCAGGTCAATTGTTAAACCGGATAATTAATTTTAAAATTTATGAAATTATAAATAGAGTATTTTGTGATATATAAATATACATAAAAATAACAAATTTAAATGTTTTGTATGTAAAATTTATAGATTAAAGTAGTAATAATATGTATATATTTACCATATAAATATATATACATAATTTTTTTTTTTTAAAAAAAAAGAAAATTAAAAAACAAAAAACAAAAAAAAATACAGATAGGGACCGAGTCAACAAGGTTGACCCAGCCAGGTCAATGCCCCGGGTCGACCGGGTCAAGGCCGGGTTTTGACCGGGTTTGACAGGGTCCGTTGTTGCCCGGTCCAATTAGCCCACCCGGACCGGTTCCAGCTCCGGGTCGACCGGATCCCGGGTCGACCCGCCGGGCCGGGCAGGGTCACAAAACACTGCTTGTTGGTTTGATTTATTGGGATTTTTTTTCTTTTTGCTATTTGGTTCTATAATTTTAAAATTCAGTTCAATTTCAGTCATTTGAGATTGGAGATCCAACAAAATTTAAAATTACAAAACTTAAATTGTAAATAAAAAAATATTGGATTGATTTTTTATTAACAATTTAAGTTCTGTAATTTTAGATTTTATTGCAATTTTAGTCTCAAATGACTGAAATTGCAGCAAAATACTAAATTACTTGAGCAAAAGACAAAAAATTGAAATTTTGCACTAAAAGTATTACGATTTTAAACCAGCATAACTAAAAATGTAATTTTGCATTGGTAGGGCTGATTATAAGTTTTCGTAATTAAAACACTGAATATGTAATAAATAAATATTTGAAATTTGAAATATGTGGGTGATTGTGCTTAAAATGTTCTAAATATTTTTCTAAAATAGTCTGAAAGTTTTGTAATGCTACTAATACCATTTTACTTATTTTGTCCCGAATCGGTGTTGTCAGATTCATATTTGACCAAGAGTTTATAGAAATTAATAAACGAGTCATGGCAACAATATAACGTACATATGCTACACAAACATAAAGTTTAGACACTTATTAATATATAATAAAGATTAACTTAATTCACTTTTAGTAATCTTTTCCCACCAAATTCATTAATTATTGTCTAAAATTAGTAACTTAACAAACTTTCCTTAATTACATATTGTAATATGGAATAGATTTCCCACCAAATTCATTAATTATTGTCTAAAATTAGTAACTTAACAAACTTTCCTTAATTACATATTGTAATATGGAATAGATGTTTTTTCCGATTAGAATCTCTATAAATATGGAATAGATTATATGTCCAATTAGAATCTCTATAAATATAAACTTAACAAACTTTCTATTATATATAATAGATGTTTTTTCCGATTAGAATCTCTGCAATATGGAATTTAGAATCTCTTGCCGAGTGAGCGTTTTCGTAAAAAAAAAAAATAATTAAATTAATTAAATCAATTGATTCCGTAAAAAAAAGGTAAATGCATCTATATGGATTTATTTACATATTATTCCGTAAATTAATTACATATTGTATGGGCTTTGATTCCTTAAAAAGAGGAATAAATTTGACGCGTGAATAAATTGACAAAATCTATACTTATATAAAAAGGCACTCTATTTACTAGAATTAGTAGTAAGAAAAGTCAAAGGTAATTAATGCATTCTATTTTCATCAAGTATTTTATTTAACTATTTTAGTTAATTGTTTTATCTCATAACACCTTTTCAATACAACTTACCATGATTTTTTTATTGTGATTAAAAACCAAATTTGACATTTATAATCTTGTGAAATTATTATTATGATTTTATAAAGCACATATTATTTGTTAGAAAAATTGTACGTATATATAATACACATCACAGTACCATGGTAGATGATTTAAATTTCAACCAACCATAATGCCAATGATTTAAATTTGAACACACCTATGTGTTTGACCAAATGTCAGGATGATTTAAAATTGAGCCCATATAAAATTATTTAAATTTGAACACACCAGAAATTTTATGTACTTTTTATTTATAAATATATTGAAAGTGGTATCTAATGGCTGTTATATAAACTATTTTAATATATTTGCAATGAATAAAAGTTTGAATGAATAATTTGTAATGTTATTCATAATGCTTGTGACTTATGAGACACGAACACATAACTCCATACATATTTACCAGAGGGCGGTTAATAAATTTTTAGACTTAACATTGATTAAAAGAGGTAGAAAATAGATAATAACATTATTACATTATTACCTTTTACACTTAAACGGACAAGACTGTGAAAATAACTCATTTAATATCTTTGTCCCGTGCATTGCACGGGGTACGTACTAGTAAATTGTAACATAATAAGATTTTATATATCATATCCCCCTATATCCCCCTATATATTAATCCAGAACGCGCTGAGCCTACGTGGCTGCTTTTAGTGCTTCGAAATCCTATGTGGCAAAATTACATGCTTCGTTATTAGGATTGAGTAAATTTTAATTTAATTCCAAACAAAAAATAATTAGGTTCGGATTACCATAAATATGTTGATTATTTATGGTCATGTTACATGCATTAATTGCATTTTAATATCATTCTTTATTATAACTATTGAATTGTATATGTATTATAAAAGTTAATTACTTTGTATTTTTTTATCAGTTTTACATATGTAATATATCAAATTAATCTTCTTTTGATGAGTTTCGATTTAACATCCATATTGTATGTATAAAAAAATAATTTATATTTATCTTTGTAACAATAATAAAATTATTTTTAATATTAATTAGAAAAATAAAATTATTTATCAACTAATATATTTATATTCATGTAGTTATATGATATAAGTTATAAAAATTAATATAATATAACACAGTTATGTCATAAGTAACACATATCATTCTAAAATATATAGTAATATATTTTTTTTGTAAAAAAGTAAACTAAATTTAATATAGTTTTCTCATTAATTCTAAAATTTAAGAATAAATTTTTAACAAGCACCCGTGTAATACACAGGTGTTGTACTACTCATCTTTAAATCAATAAACCACATTACACATTATTTGCGTAAATTATTCTGGGGATGTTTGGATATAAAATATTTTGATTTTGTTTGTATTTTTTGTTTGGCATGATAAATTTAAAAAAAAAATGGTATTGTTAGTTGTTGTGACATTTTAAGTTTATATTAAAATAATATTAATAAAATAATTAAATTAATTTGGCGTAAACGCATGATAGAAATGATGTACAGTGATTAGTAATGAACAATGAATTAAAGTTGATTTAATGTATAAAAATGATTGAGTTGTATTATTTAATTACTAGTGAGCATCCTCTGCGAGATGAGTTTGTCACTTATTTTTTTTTAGTTTTTTTTAAATATATTAACCCGCGGACCCATTCATAATAATATAAATAATATTTGAACATATATATTAATTTTTATAATATAAAAGTAATCTTTATTTAATTTTATTCATCATAATACTCAATTATTATTTTATTCTAAAACTTATTGTTATATAATGTTATTATTATTATTAAATATACTTATAAAACTAGTATTTCTATATATATATATTTATATATATATAATGATAAATATTCAGTGTCCATTAATATTATTTATTGACATAATTATATAAAAAAACATATGAATAAATTAAAATAAATAAACCATAAATGCCTTTTATTCAATTTATTAAATTTATCATACCTCATAATAATTAATAAGTTACACACACACATAGCCTAACAAGGAACATTTCAATATTAAAATGTGATAATATTTCATTTTAAAGTATTTGACTTATTTTGCAATCCTATTATGTTATGTGAAAAATAAGATTTTCTTAATTGATAATGATTCTAATTGAAAAAAATGTAGTATCAAATTATGTTATTTTTACCGAGTACCGAATCGATCTCTCGAAGAAGGCTAGCCGGATTATTATGCACGTTTATTCAATCACAAAAGGAGAAATCAAATTCTTAAACACTCTAATTCAGAAGATTGATTTTTTTTATCATAAACTACGAAAATTCAAATAAAGCAGATAGAAATATCAAGCAAGGCGATTAACAAGCAAGATTAAAGAAACTAGGGAGTCGGAGATATCCGTTTTGGTTTGAATTGAAATTATCGGACAAGTGATCGTTCGATTAAGTGATTTGGATAACCTACTCGTTCAGATAATCATCCTCAATAACTTTTCGTAAGAAGAGAACAAACTTAAATGGCAAATTAACAAGTCATTTAACACATAGGCAATACAGTTACGAACAAGCCTATCTTATACGATCCTATTACGATCGACTCATCCCCTTTGGTTTCTAAGAGTCGATTTAATTAGATTAGAGGGGAGTTAACCGACTAATCAATAAGAATAACCAACATCATGCAAGAATAAATCGAACTCAATTGGGAACTGAAGTGTCACCCTTCAACAATTCTCACTATTCAAGTACAATAATTGAAAAAAAAAACCTTTTGAAAGATCAGATCACATAAAAGAATGATAAACAAGCATCACAATCACAAACGAATCCAAAACATTATTCTCCTATTCCCTAGCAATAGGATTTAGCCACTCATAATCGAATTATTGTTTAGT